CGCGTGGTGAACGCTTCCTCGCCTTCCTGTGCACGTGGTGAACGCTTGCTTCCTCGCCTCGCTGCGCCCGACCACAGCTCCTGCACCATTGCCCCCACTTCCTTTTTCAAGTCTGCTCAGCTTCCAACTTTCTCGGGGAACTTACCACTCCCTCCTCCTTGGCAATTCTAATTTGACCCCCAGTAGCCTGTCTGTCTAGCTCCATGTATACAATTTAATTTTGCTGATATGCGTGCTTCTTTCCCACGGCAGCCTTCGCTCCATTATCTTCGCAGAGCAGGAACTTGCTTCATGGACTGATAACCTCAAGCACGCGGCGCTGGATCTGCTAGAACTGGAGTTACCTGAAGCAGCCCTGTGCATGCTGGACCTAGGTCCTCTGCAAGAGCAGCGAGTGCTCTGCATCTCTGGGCCGTCTCTCGGGCCCTTCCAGGATTTATTTTATTTCATATTTTAATTCTAGATATAACCATTAGCAAGTTTTTCATATCCTCACAATTCCTTAAAGCATCAAAATTAACAAGCCTACACATTGAAGAGATGGCGTCACCAGATAAAACACAGATGCCCAATAAGCAACGTCAGTGCAAGCATGCCGCTGCTAACGCTGAGATTACCTGCCTTCTGTCTCGGGACAGGTCTGACTGGATACCCGCATTACACTAGCAGGTACGAATCATGACCGTCAGCCCTGAAAACAACCTTGGTGATCAAGTGATTCTTCTGATCTCATTGCCTTATTCTGTTATTAATTATAAAACGCAATCATCAGCTGAAAGAAATCAGATAAAGCCGCTGCCCTGTGACTTATACTGTCACCCAGCATGCAGAGGACAGCGCCAGTGGCCAGAGAGAAATGGCCGATCTTATAATACTTGCACTATTATCCCAAAAAAGTGAGCAAAGTACACACCAAGAAAGCATTCAGGTATATTAAAATTTACAGGAAAAAAATATTTTTACATATACAATTAATTATACTTCATTCTAAAAACTAAAAGATAGCAGGATTCATTTTGCCAACAAAGGCAACGCCTACCTTTATATTAAATTTATTTAAAGCACTCTAGACAGGTAATAATTTTATACAAAACAGACCTAGATGTACAATGCCAAATAACTGACTTTGGACAAACTGATTGTATATATTCTCACATTTATCAAGTATATACTATCGCAAAAATAATTAGTTATATATTTGGACAAACAACTTACCTTATTATAAAAATCTGTAAGGAAATACTCACTTCAGAACCATTTGAAAAGAGCTGTAGTTGAAAGCGTAGCCTCCGATGACCCACATAGATTTCCCGTGTAAAACTGCTTTATGTGAGGCCCGACCCACAGAGGGGCTGAAGGGTTTAACATTTGGCAAAATCCAGTAAGACTCGGTAGAAGGAACATTCAGAGAACAATCTGGACCTATTTAAAAACCAAACAACACAGTGCATTAAACAAAGGTCTGGTACTACAGAAGCGGCCTGCTCAGACTGGCAGGACGTGAGAATCTAGTGACCATCAGGTGAAAAACGTAATGCACGTAACAGTCTGCCCTACTCGGTGCTGCACGCCTCTAAGCCGTCTGTCAAGAAGCCGAGGGAGGAAGACTGAGAGCCCAAGGGCCATTTACCAACTTCAGCCCAAGCTACATAGTGAGACTCTGTCCCAAAAATCTCCCCTCATTAAAAAGTCTGAACTATAACTTGCAAATAAATTCTTAACAAGGGAAATATAATCCAATTTTAACACATTGTAATGAACATCATGATGTATAAAAAACTTCTTAAATAACATATTACATATTTATTACATATTTAGTATGCTACTAGAATATTAAAATGGAATACAGCATTCTCAAGTTCTAGTTCTGTCAATAATGTGACCTTAAACAAACCCCGCGCAGCACCAAGCTTTCTGTTACAGAGTGGAAAGAAAAAGCTGCTCACAAACGCTGTTAAGTTTTTACTTTTTACAAAAGTATATAAAGTCATTTATAAATTATAAGCTACTAAACAAATGTGAAAATAAGGATCACATTATTAAGAACAAAACTGGCTTCACCAGGTAGCCTCATATATCAACAAAAGAAAATGAAGTACAGTAAAATAAAAACTATTTGAAAACTATAACAGTCTCATAAAATAAAAACCATTATTAGTTTAGAATAATGTCAATACTGTAAAGCAGGCCCAGAGCTGTCGCCTATCCAGGGTCACGAGACTGGGAGTGTCGGCCTCCTCCTCCATAAGATGCAGTGAGGCTGGTCAGCATCCCTGGAATCCAGCAATGGAAGAACTCTTGTGCTTCCGTTCTTTCCCACATATTTGCTCATATCAAGCACTGACATCTCTGTCACGACACACTTGCGGTCACTGCGCTTTGCAGATACATGTGTCACAAGCCGAGTCCCACGGCAACCCTTGCTGAAGCGGACTGCAGCATGTGCTTCCTGTGTCACTGTTTTTCACTGTCCAAGACTGCCATTAGCATCACATGGTAGGACAACCTATAATTACATGACTATTAAAATCACTCGAGGTCCCCACCAACCACGTCTATTTAAAACAGTAACTCTAACTGATACCTGTGTGTTCTGACTGCTTCGCAATTGGCCATTCCCTGCTCTCTCCCCTCCTTAATTATTGGATACAAACAGTATTGAAACTAGGCCAACTAATAACCATGATGGTTTCTAAGTATCTAGACAAACGGGGAAGGGCAGAACCTTTCACTTAAATCAAAAGCACATGCTGCCCTCTTATAGCAATAGCCATGGACTGAATGCAAAACAAAATTTCCTACAGGAAGTAAAAAGTGCCCCTCCAGAGAACAAATGAAGAGGTGAGGTGCCTTCCTGCGAACAGTGCATTTTGGGGGGTTTGAATGGAAGACCAAACTGTTCACAGCATTCCTTTAAACCAAAACCTAATCCAGAAACAGGTGCAGACCACGGGGAAGGTTCCACTCTGACAATTCTCCGAAAGCTGAGAGAGGTAAAGAGGGAGAGAACCTTGGAGTAGCAGAGGTTACTGCTTTACAAGGAGTGAGGGAAGACATGGGTTCTGTGAGCAGGAGCTGACACACACTGCAGCAAGTACCCATGGGCAGTGAGGCTGCCGATCATGCTGGCCGTGGGCAGCGTTCTAGAAGTGCTTCCTCCCCGTTCTGATGTCAGTAAGAGCATCTGAGATTATGGAAGAAGGGTTAAATACCAATATTCAGAGGAATTTAAGAGTTATTCTCAATCCCACGGAAGCTCTTAAGTGACTCAACTATAGTAAAGAAAGGAACCGTTGATCTTGTGGCCACAGCAAAAGGACTAGAAGCAAAATGTGAAGATTGAGTGAAACACTGCCATCTCACAATGAAGTTAACAGATAAAAAGTTACTTCCTGTGATGAGAAAAAAAATATTCCTATTCCTAAAATGAAATCCACTGATAAAGATGCTGCAGACACTTTAGAATGACAGAATTTAGAATACTGCTTGGTTAGTAAAGAGGTTTGGGAGGGCGGACTTTAATTTTGAAAAGTTCTGTTCTGTTAAAACATTATCAACCAATATCACATCAATCAAACAGCCTGAAAAGTGACCTCTCACTGCAGCTGTCACCAAAGCTCTCTGGTGGCCACCAAACTGGGGCAAAACCTTCCACCAGGAAAAAAGCCTCAGTAACAACACCAGTGACTCATAATTTTGTAGCCGTAAAATGTTTTTAATTAAGATATGTACATTTTTATAATAAATTTATTGTATGTTTAAAGCTGTAATTATACATTTATGCAATATTGTATAAACATAATCACTATATGCTCTGGGAAACCAGGAAAATAGACATGACTCACTATATTACAATATTTATTTCATTGCAACCATCTAGAATTAAACTTAAAATATCTCCAAGACCATACACCTATATTTAATATTTTGGATGTATTGTTTTGCTCAAACTAAATAATTGGTCACATGTTTAAAGCGAAATTAATTTCTTTTTTTCTATTTGTTTATTACAATTTATTCAGTTTGTATTTTGGCTGTAGCCCCTTCCCTCATCTCCTCCCAATCTCATCCTCCCTGCCTCTTCTCCCCCTATGCCCCTCCCCTAGTCCACTGATAAAAGAGGTCCTCCTCCCCTTCTATTTGACCCTAGCCTATCAGGTCTCATCAAGTCAGCTGCATCATCTTCTGTGGTCTGGCAAGGCTGCACTCTCCAGGGGGAGGTGATCAAAGAGCCAGCCACTCTCCAGGGGGAGGTGATCAAAGGGCAGGCAACACAGTCCATGTCAGAGACAGCCCCTGTACCCCTTACTAGGGAAACCACTTGGAAACTGAGCAGCCTATGGGCTACATCTGAGCAGAGGGTCTAGGTCCTCTCCATGCGTGGTCCTTGGTTGGCATATTAGTCTCTGCAGGGCCCCTGGGCCCAGGTTTTGTGGCTTTATTGGCATCCTTGTGGAGTTCCTGTTCCCTCCAGATCTTTCTATCTCTCTCTTCTTCCATAATGTTTCTGGCACTCTACCAAAAGTTAGGGTATGAATCTCAGTGTCTCCTTTGATACCCTGGTGGGTATAGTCTTTCAGAGGCCTCCTGTGAAAGGCTCCTGTCCTGTTCCTTCTCTTCTTGTACTTCCTGCTTGTTCTTCTGAAGGAGAATAAAGCATCTTCCCTAGTGCCCTCCTTGTTGTTTAGCTTATTCACGACTACAGATTTTAGTATGGTTATCCTATATTATATGTCTAATATCCACTTATAAGTGAGTATATACTGTATATGTCTTTCTGCTTCTGGGATACCTCAGTCAAGATTATCTTTTCTAGCTCCCACCATTTACTTGCAAATTTCATGATTTTCTTGTTTTTAATTGCTGAATATTCCAATGTGTAAATGTACCACAATTTCTGTATCCATTCCTCAGTTGAGGGACATCTGGGCTGTTTCCAGATTCTGGCTAATATGAATAAAGCTGTTATAAACATAGCTGAGTAAATGTCCTTGTTGTATGGTTTAGCATCTTCTGGATACATGCCTAGGAGTGGTATAGCTGGATCTTGAGGTACCAATTTTCTGAGAAAGCACCAGATTGATTTCCAAAGTGGTTGTACAAAATTTACACTCCTAGCAGCAATGGGGGAGGGTTCTCCTTTCTCCACATCCTCTCCAGCCTGCATAATCCCTAGAGTTTTTGATCTTAGCCATTCTAATGGGTGTGAGGTGAAATCTCAGGGTCGTTTTGATTTGCATTTCCCTGATGACTAAGGACTTTGAGAATTTCTTTTAAGTTGTTTCTCTGCCATTTGATATTCTCCAACATTGATATTCCTCAACATTTGATATGTTGAAAATTATCTGCACCTCATTTTTTAATTGGATTACTTGGTTTGTTGCTGTTTAACTTCTTGAGTTCTTTATATATTCTTGATATTAGCCCTCTGTCAAATATAGGGTTGGTGAAGATATTTTCCCAGTCTATAGGCTGTCGTTTTATTCAGATGACAGTGTCCTTTGCTTTACAGCTTTTCCAGTTTCACGAGGTACCATTTATTAATTGTTGATCTTAGAGCCTGTGCTGTTGGTGTTCTGTTCAGGAAGTTGTCTCCTGTGCTAATGAGTTCAAGGTTCTTCCCCACTTTTTCTTCTAACAGGTTTAGTGTGTCTGGCTTTATGTTGAGGTCTTTGATTCATTTGAACTTACTTTTGTGCAGGGTAATAAACATGGGTCTATTTGCATTTTTCGATATGTAGATATCCAGTTAGCCCTGAACCATTCATTGAAGATGCTTTCTTTTCTCCATTGTATGGTTTTGGCATCTTTGTCAAAAATCAGGTGTCCATAAGTGTGTGTTTATTTCTGGGTCTTCAATTCAATTCCATTGATCCTCCAGCCTGTTTCTATGCCAGTACCATGCCGTCTTTTATTACTGTTGCTCTACATTACAGCTTGAGATCAGAGATGAAGATACCTCCAGAAGACCTTTTATTGTACAGGATTGTTTTAGCTATTCTGGGTTTTTGCAGTGAGTGCCTTTCTTATATCATTTAGCATACCTACATTATTTTTGCTATATCAACCATTTTTCTTTCTTCCATGTATGATTTACACATATACTGAAATCTGAAGTTCTCCAAAAAGAAAGAAGAAAAGCAAGAAATGAAACCATCTTTGAAGAGTACTATCTTCCAATTCCACTGAGAAGTTTTTGTTACAGTAGCCAAAATATTCTGCTTGAGTACTAGGCTCAGAGAAATGCCACTAGAGTCCTGTTGCCTGTACTAGGCTCATAGAAGTGCCACTAGAGTCCTATTGTCTGTTTCAGGGGATTTTAAATGCTCTCAACCTATTCGTACAATATTTAACTTTACAATGAGTCATGTGACTGGTAATCACCATTCTAGATCTTTTCTAAGTATGTGGTTCTTACAGTTTAGGTAAATGATATCATTATGATGAAAGAGCTGTTTGTTTGTTTGTTTGTTTGTTTGTTTGTTTGAGCAGAAATCAGAGATTTTCAGTGTCCTAATTTTGAGGTGTAATGGAGGTTAAAATAAAGTTGTACATGGTAACTCAATATAGAAATAATTCAGCAGAAAAGGAAGGGTCATTTCTCCATAATCTCTTTACGTTGCCCTAGTGGCACTCATTTTGAAAATCATTGGTATTATCAAGATACATGTTCATAAAAAAGAATAACTTTAACATTCTAAAGAACTATTTCTGGATAATTAAAGCCATCAAGATTATATATACAGACATTTAAAATTGTGAAATATTCTAAGCACAAAAACTAAATTGCCCATTTTATTAGCCTGGTACAATGTTCACCGAATACCTAAACACTATGTCTAATCTTCAAGTATTATTCACAAATGCAAATTTTATAGGCTAATAAAATACATTAAGCTTGGTTACAATAGATATTATTAAATCAAGAGCTATCACCAAATGTCTACTTACTAAAAAGGAAATGTCACTGTAGTATTAGTCCTTAAGAATACTATTTCGGGGCAGGAAGACAGCCTGATTGTTAGAGCCTGCTGGGCCAGCATGAGGCTCCACGCTCATCAGCAGCCACCCAAAAGCCGCCTGTGATGGTGCGCGTCGGTACTAACCCCAGCACTGGGGGAAAGTGGAGCCCTGGAGCCCCTTTGGAGCCCCTTGAGAGCTCTCCCCTAACCCATCTCAAAATAAAGTAACTAGCAGAAAAACGCAGAAGACACCCAGAGCTGGCCTCTGTCCTCACACAGACCCACACAAACCCACACAGACTCATGAACACACCACACACGGGCAGAGACTACCATGAAGACATTTTGAATCATTTTATAGAGTTGTCATCCCAGGACCCAGACAATGTTTCTTTATAAAGAAAATAAAATTAGCTGAGTTACCCAGAATAACCCTAACTGTGAGCATGGATGAACCTATTCATAAATTGAAGTGACTCTAAGAATTAGCCACTGTACAAAGTACCCTGTAACAGACTGAATGTTTGCTAAGTTCACCAAAAGCCCCAACCCCAGTGTGACAGAGGAAGTGTGGGCCACACATACCCGTGTTCTTGCTCTAGCTCTGTCATGGGAATCAGCAAGAAGGCAAACATCTGTAGGAAGAAGACGGCCCTCCCCAGAACCCACTCTTTCTGATCTAAGACAGCCAACCTCCAGTACTGCTAAGTAGGAGATGTGTGCTTTGGCAGCAGCTGGCATTTGCCAGAGAAATATCAGCGTGAGCTAGTATATGCACATAATGTTTCTTTGCACACCCCACCGGCCATCGTATCCATACTGGCTTTAATGCTGGACAAAAATGTGGATGTGCAGGTCTAAAGCCCAGTGAGCCCTAGTGACAAAAGAAAATGATCAGTGCTGGAAAGACACCGGTCTACTCCAAACAGCACAGCACCGTCCTCTTGTCAGTGAAGTCTGAAATTCGTATGCTGCTCTCAAAAAAAAGAAGGAAAGAGAGAGAGAGAGAGAGAGGAAGGAAGGAAGGAAGGAAGGAAGGAAGGAAGGAAGGAAGGAAGG